TTTGACGCGATGTAGTTGAGATCAACATCTGCGGCGACGGGCGTCTTGCGGAGCTGAGCTGAGAGAATCCCAAGCCTACCCTCTTCATCGGGCAGAGGCACGTAGATAAGCGAATCAAGACGCCCAGGACGGCAAAGAGCCGGGTCAAGCTGCTCAGGCCTGTTCGTGGCACCGATGACAAAAACGTTCTTCTTTGAAGTCATGCCATCCATTTCTGTATTTGATTAATCAGTGTTCAAAATTTTGAGCAGTCAGATCACTTACCTGTAAGAAGTTGGTTGACAACACGATCAGAAGCACCACCAGCATCCCCAACGGAGCCTCCACGGGCCTTGGCGATGGAGTCAAGCTCGTCGAGGAAAACAACGCAAGGGGCAGCAGCGCGAGCTTTGTCGAATATATCGCGGATATTGCTTTCAGATTCGCCGAACCACATGCTCAGAAGTTCCGGACCCTTGACGGAAATGAAGTTGGCAGCGCACTCGTTGGCAACAGCCTTAGCCAACATCGTCTTACCAGTACCAGGGGGACCGTAGAAAAGAACACCTCGTGATGGGGAAAGACCAAATTTGAGGAACATCTCGGGGTGATCCACAGGGTACTGAACGCTCTCCTTGAGATCTTGTTTGACGCTTTCAAGACCGCCGATATCCTCCCATCGAACGTTGGGTACCTCCACAACAGCGACCTCGCGCAGAGCAGAGGGGTTAGAGACCCCGAGTGCGAAGCGAAAGTTTTCCATAGTGACGCCCAGAGAGTCGAGAACTTCAGCATCAATAGTATCCTCGTCGAGTCAATGAGATCCATTTTCTCACGAAATCTGCTGCAGGCGGGCCTCGGAACAAAGGGCAGCCACGTCAGAACCGACATAGCCGTGAGTTTCGGAGGCTATCTGCTCCAGATCAACGTCATCACCAAGCTTCATGTTCTTGGTGTGGATCTGAAGGATCTCAAGGCGACCAGTAGGATCGGGAATGCCGATATCGACCTCGCGGTCGAAGCGGCCAAATCGCCGAAGAGCAGGGTCGATAGAGTTGGGGCGGTTGGTGGCGGCCATGACTACAACGTTCGAGCGAGCCTTCATGCCGTCCATTAGAGTCAAAAGTTGAGAGACGACACGGCGCTCAACTTCTCCGTTCGTCTTCTCACGTTTGGGAGCGATGGAGTCGATCTCATCGATAAAGATGATGGCGGGCGAATTTTTCTCAGCCTCCTCAAAAGCCTTGCGTAAGTTTGACTCCGATTCTCCAGCCATTTTGGACATGATCTCAGGGCCGTTGATCAGGAAAAAGAAAGCACCTGTCTCGTTGGCGACGGCTCGCGCCATGAGTGTCTTGCCTGTACCGGGAGGACCGTAAAGAAGCACACCACGGGGCGGCTTGATGCCGATGGACTTGAAAAGCTGGGGATGGCGGAGGGGCAGCTCGACCATCTCACGGATTTGAGCCATCTGCTTCCTGCAGCCACCGATGTCGTCATATCCAACCTCGTTCAGATTGTTCTCCTCCTCATCGCGCTCGATTGGATCGCCTTCACAGTGGATGACGGTGTCCTGAGCTACAATGCCGTACTCGGGAGGATCGACTTCGACGACTTTGAATTCGACTTGCCTCATTCCACCACGGACAATGAAAAGATCTCCCTGGCGAACGGGCCGGTACGCCTCGGGAAAGTAGGGGGCGAGGAAGACGTCGAACAGTGAGCCGGTGATTCCCTCAACTGTGTCGGCGATGGGAAGGACTGCGATACGCTTGGCCTAAAAGTGGAGTCAGATAATGCTCAAGGGTCAACTAGTCTTCGAATACTAACGTATTTAATGTCAGGGCAAGGGTGAATAGTGATCATGTCACCGTGCTTGACGCGAAGGTTGTGGCGTACGACGCGGTTGATACGGGCGCTACCGTCATCCAGTTCGTCGTCTGCTAGCACAATCAAGACTGTGTCCTTGCGTTTTTTGCCGCGAACCAAAACAGTATCACCGCGGAAGAGCTGCAGTGCCTCCATGGTGTTTTCAGAAAGGGCGATGATGGAGTTGTCATCGTTGACGGCATCCGTGACCCTGCATCTCGTCAGCCCGGCACTATCCTAACAATGGCCGCAGCGCAAGCTTACATCAACTGGTTCACCTTCTTCTTCTTCTTGAGGATAGCAGTCGCGGTGTCATCTTCCTACAAAGACATCAGCTTGTATTCTAATACTTGTAGACATTTCGGACAACGAACGTTCTTAACTTCTGCTCCAGATACATCCCTGGTACTGATTAGCAACATATTCATTCGTTCAAGACAGCATGGCCGGTGTTTACACATGGTTGTGCCTTGGGAAAGAGACTCACTGAAGGTTGACCTTCTTCTTATGCTCCGGCTGGTCGGCCATGGTATAGGTTTGCTCGTGTCCGGGGGGTGGCTTTTGGTCCGAGATCTTCGTGAACAGTGTTTGGTAAGGTTCTTGGCAGATTGGTGCAGATATCTCGATCCTGCGATATGTTGCAGAGAAGAGAGAGACGGAGCTGTGGTTCTTCTTCCGATATGTTGGTAACGGTGTTTGTAGAAGAGTTGTTGGATTGGTTGCGGAAGGGAAGAGGGTTGATGAAGGAACGCAGGATAGGTTGCAGAGAGAGCTGTCCACACTTCAGGTAGTGACTAGGCTCCGAGGTGACGGCGACTGCTGGGAGGCGCTAGATTGTGGGCCAATGAGATCATACGAAGGCGCGGAACAAGGTTGATGCAGCTGGGACCTGGATTATGTAAGACTCCAGAGATGTCACAAGCTCCAATGGAATGGCGGTCACAGAAGCTTCCAACGTATTCCACCCTTGCCCAAACATCCAGGCACCCGGCTGGCCACGCATGACGATACGCAGCTAGCACCTGCCTAGGTGCTTATCTACCGAAGTAGGTATCTACTAGTATGCTCCAGCCGTTTGCCGTTCTGTTCAGAGATCGAGATTGTTTTGCTAGAATGATCTGAACATTGGTTTCATCACCTACCGTACGAGATACATTCAGGCTCATTCAGGCTCTAACGTGTGTCGAATTAATTGCCTCGTAAACCACCTGCTCTGTCCATCCACGAGAGAGACACGCCATGGCCAGCCCCCAGTTCAAGCCAGAAGAGTAACTTGAGTTCAAGGCATGACCAGGTTCACGAAGGAACAAGCTCCCGGGCCACAGTGATAAAAATGCGATTCCGAGTACGTCGCGTGTCCATTACCCTCGAGCGCCGAGTAGCATTGCCGTGTCGTGTACCCTTCCTGCAAATCATATCTTGTGTTTTTCGTGATATACTACAACATAGCCATCAACGGTCTTCTTGCTGTACCAAACTGAGCTCGACTTGTCCCTACACAACGAAACCTCATGTAAGGTAGGTTCTTAGTGCAACGCCGTGGCTCAGCTGCACTGGGCCTCTTATCGATAAGGAAAAGGAAAGTGCCATCTTTCTGTACCTAGTGGTGGGGGACTACCGGTGCAGAAAGATTAAACACTTCCATTGCATCCTCAGCACTTCTTGCCCCGGACCAATCCTATAATCCGCCGGCCTGTCCTCCTCAGTGTCTACAGCCATCGACCACCTTGCCTATGCATTGGCCAGCTTCTCCAACTTGCACAGTACGCACTAGGTTACCACCTCGATCGCGGCACCCTATTCCCACCCGCCAAATTTACGATCCCTCCATCCACACCTACATCAGCCTGAAGACCTAATCGCCCGCCTAGCGTTCCAAAAACGACGTCTTGAATCCCAAAGCAATAGCTTGAAATTTCACTAGCTGGTCTGCCATCATTCCTGTTGTCGCCCAGCAGTTACAATGGACTTCATCGGCCTGCAGATGCTTGTAACTGTGAAGGACCCTCCCGGCGTTCGGGTTAAGGGCACTGTCAGCGAGGTCACGCCTGGACAGAGTCTTGTGCTTAGCAATGGTATGTTTTGCGCCCTGCTCAGGCTATCCTAAATCGCTATCCCGCTAATCACTGCAGTTTTTCACCTTGGTTCGAGTAAATGGATACCGCGGTTAACTCTCGAACCGAAGAATATCGTCGACCTGGCAGAGTATAAAGATGAGGTCACTCCCGAGACTTTCACGGCCCCAGGTGCGAGTTCCCTACCTGCGCCAGTTCTCAGCCAAACCGCTCTGCCTTCGTTCGCGGACCCTGCCATTGTCAGCCTTGGGCGCAGGCCGGGATCTGGCAGCCAAACCCCCGTGGAATCACGACCTCAATCTCGTTCTCAATCCCGCCCACAGTCTCGTCGACAGTCGCCTCCCATGGGAAATTCAGAAAGGTCACCAAGGCAGCCTGGCGTAGTGTTCACCCCCAGCATTGGCCATGTACAACGACGGGAGTCCATAAAAGCTAACTTGGCTACTGAGCTCGAAGACTTGAGAGTTGATGACGAGTCTCATCGCCAAGACCTGAAAGATTCTACTGCTGCAGGAACCGCAGATGCTCCGCTGCAGGCACCCAAGAAGAGGAATCGCAGGGCCAGACTAACCAAGGCTCTAAAGAACGGTGCAGCCGAAGATGCATCACTTGAAGCCTCCTCGCCGCAGGGCGGACGCGGTAAGGGTTGGCGGCAAACGCCCATGCTAAAAAGTACATCATCTTTCCAGCCATTCAAAGCGCTGAAGCGTAACGGCAAGACTGGAAATAGTGTCCTGGATAATGGGTGGGCCTCTGAAGATGTCACGGAAGAGATGGGTGAATTCGACTTTGAGGGCGAGCTGGCCAAATTTGATAAGCAGACTATCTTCAATCAGATGCAGAAAGACGATCTCGTCGAAGAGAGCGACCGACTCGTCTCGCACAACCGCAAAGCTAAGCCTGGAACCGCCGGAGGAAAGAATTACCACCACACCGAGAATGTACTCGATATCACCGCCGCAACCCCCAAAATGGCCAACGATTTTTGGGATAGCGAGACAGACGATGCAGCTCTGGGACCCGAGAGGTTGAGCGGAAGGGATGTTAGAAGCAGTCAAAGCATGCGGCGGACGGATAGTAACAGACCAAATGCGGGTAAAAGGTCTCAGTCTCGGAAAGCGAGCGCTTCAGGGATCCCGCCTGCGAGTCGCGCCAACCCTGCTTCCCAACCTGGCTTCTACCTGGTGCCGTCGCAGCGCAGAGCTGAACCAGTTTCAGCTTTGCAAATGCTCAACCTCGAGAATATCGCTGCGAACGAAATTGGCCTCACAGAGGATATGATGACCGAGAATGCTGGCCGCGGCATTGCTGAAGTGGCCGTGGCAGCGTTATGCGACCCTGCAATTCAGATCAGGCTGGGAGCCGGCGGCGTAAGCGCCTCGGCGATAAGTCATACATCATCAATCATCGTGGTCCTTGCTGGAAACAACAAGTCAGGCATTCGTGCAGTCGCTGCCGCTCGCCACCTTAGCAACAAGGGGGTCAATGTTCTTGTTTGTGTTGTGGGCATTGAGCGAGAGCGTGATCTGCTCGAAGACATGCGCCAACAGGTTCGAATCTTCAAGAACCTTGGTGGCCGCATTCATAACAAGATTGAGCTCTTTGAGCAGTTGCGTAAAACGTCGCACTCATCTTCAGCAACGGTTACCCTAATCATAGACGCGCTGCTCGGGTTAGCAATCTCATTTGAGGAGCTGCGGACCGGCGACCAAGCCACTGTCTACGAGCTCATAGAGTGGGCAAACCGTAATGAAGCGTTCACTCTCGCCGTTGACGTTCCGACGGGCATCGATCCTTCGACTGGCAAAGTGAGCATCATTGATGGAGGGCGGCTATACGTCAAGCCCCGGTACGTCGTCGCCATGGGGGCGCCGAAGCGCGGACTTCTCGAAGCCATGGCACCGCCTTTGCGTCCCAGCGAAGAAGGCAGTCCTGAGAGCCTCTTTGCTCCCGTGGCGGACAATGATGACTGGAAGCTCTTCATTGTTGACATTGGACTCGGCGCAGCTATTTGGAAGAAGGCTGGAACAAAGCTTCGAAGAGGTATTGACTTCGACGATAAATGGGTGCTAGAGATGCGGTACCAGGGCGCTACTGGGCCAAGGCGAACAACCAGATTATTAAAATATCGGAAGCCCCATAAGTATACGGCTTGAGCTTCATGCTGTACTGCATGGTGCTTTGACGATGATCAGAGCGTGGGGAACCGGAGCGGGATAGAAAGAAATGCAACTACTGGCCAGGGCATACTAGCCAAAGCGATCATCTTTTATGGTACATTCATAGCATTTACACCAGGGGCGCTCAATGCACTGAGATATTGGTTCACATCTTTCTATGATATCCCGCGACTGTGAATTACAGATGTTTGATGATAAACAACATTGGTCATCACCAGGCGCATCTGTTATACCTAAACTTGCAAGAATGCTTACGCGGCAAGAGTTCCATTGTTCCCGGTCCTTCATCCGTCTCCGATGATACCATCATCAGAGCAGAATGCTGGCAACTACTAAGTATCTGAACTGAGTTTTGTACTGTGCCCATCTAGTCACATACCCAATGCAACAGCCGGCAGGAACACAAAGTAACGCCAACTATTATGCAAACCAAGTGACAAAAGAAAAGGAAAGCGTATTAATGACCATAAGCCTCAGCCATGGCATCCTCGTCATCATCATCATCATCAAGAGTGATGGGTGCCCTTGCACTTCCCACCGCCCTTGGAATGGGCTTCTGGACAGTGGGCCTGGTATTGGTCTGAAAAGTTGATCGGCTTGCAACCTCCTTGGCCTTAGGAGCAGAGAAGATACTGGCCACGGTAACAGCAGGCTTCTTGGCCATCGCCTCATCGATGCTGTACAAGTTGTTGTAAAAATTGACGACCCGAGGATGAGCCATCACCTTGTGCTTCTCAAACCGCAGCACCTGGAGACCCTGTTGCCTAGTGGCTCGACTGAGAGCGACGTATGCCTGGCCCTTCTCGAATACCTTGCCAAGGTCGACCTTAACCCGTTCTAGTGTCTGCCCTTGTGCCTTGTGTATAGAAAGCGCCCAGGCCAGTATAAGTGGGATCTGTCGACGGCAGGCTTGGACTTCACCAGCGGCGTTCTCAACTTTGTACTCTTCACCGATGCAGAGTATGGTTCTGTGCGTACCATCCGAAGCGGAGAACTCTACAACAGGATATTCCGTGGCGCCCGTCCTGCTTTCCTCGAGTTCGCGGGTGAAGGCCTTGATCCTGTTCTGCACCCTCGCATCAGGGGCGCCCTCGTCGTCCGTTCCGAAGGCAGTGTCATTCTTTAGTTCGAACATGGACTCGGTCATGAAACCTCGGACCCTTCCAAGTGAACCGTTGACAAGCGTCTCATCCATATTCTTGACCAGCATCACTTGAGCTCCCACCTTCAGCTCAATGCTTTTTGGTGCCATGACGTTCGCCAAAAGTTTCTCCCGAAGTTGTGGGTCGCCAGTCTCGTGCGCGTCGTACCGCTTAAGCCTTGCCAGGGAGATTCGTAGTCGAGTCTGATGGGATCTTTCGACTTCCTGTCTT